GCATTCACCACAGGGCCCACACTAGTTTGTAGCATCCACGTGGGGCTTTGTTGTTGTGAAAAGCATGCATTTGCCTTCACCTCCCTGTCTTGGGCACATCAAGTGGGGGGAGCACTGTGTTGGGACAGAATTCAAAGATTTAGGGTAATCAATCCTTTGGCATCGTCTGTTTCCAAAACTCAGTACCAAGAGGTGGAGGCAGAAATGGTGGAAAGTTAAAGGCAGGCCTCTGGGGTAAAATCTCTGAACCATGCTCCTTCCTCTCCTCAGTCAGAAACACCTGGTCCCCAAACACCTGGATACATTTCCAGTCCATGCCAGGTCCCTAGACTTCCAGGAACCACTTTTTCTCTGGTTAGATTGCTGACACCTGTATCTAAAATACATTCCCATAAACAGATATTTTTCAAAAGCTTTCAAAACACCAATATCGACCTAAAGTCTGAGAAATTTAAGCCTGGAGCTCAGCTTTCCCCAATGTAGGAACTTGCCCATAGCATTCTTCAACAGTGACTGCCCCACAAATAGACAGGACCTGCCCCACCGGCACCTGACCATCTTCCCCGACACTCTGCTGGGCCCACCATGGGCCCTGGGGCCCCAGACAGGTCCACTGCCAAGACATGCAAAAAGCAGGCTTTTCATCTCCCAGCTCTGCCCTCCTTACTGGAAAGAGAGCAAAGCGGAACTGTAGAAGACAGCGCGGAAACAGCTCCCTCGTTGGGAAAACCACTCCTAAAGAAGGAACTCAAGCTCTGCCTTGTTCTCTCATAAACAAAGCCATCCCGCTCTAACCCACAGGGTCCTCCACGGTACTGAGGAAGACACAGCAGGCCGTGGGGCTCTGAGAGGCCCACCTTGTCCCTCCTGTTCCCTCCATTTCAGTGACTCGAAGGGGGCCAGACCCTGTCGGTCCCCTGCTCCTGTCTCTCCCACCCTGGGTCTCTGAGGTCTCCCCACGGGTCTGGCCAGGCTTCCAGGGCACACGGTCCCTCCATAGCACTGGATAGTCCTGCTTGCTTTCTAGGAGCCCCTCCCACTGGTCCTCCATGGACATCTCTGCCTGGCCAATTGTGACTTTTTGCTTCTACTCTTGTCCCCCATCCCACTTATAGTTGGTTCTCCATACAGCAGCCAGGGTGACCTTATAGAAACAGAAATCAGACCTGGCCAGTCTCCTTCTCATACCCGCCAGTGGCCTCCCCTCATTTAGAGAACAAGATCCAAATCCTTCCAAGAGTCCCCATGCCCTTGATGACTGGCCCTGCCTGTCTCCCCATCCCCTTACCTCTTGCCTTTCAACCTGCTCCTCCCAGCAGACCAGCCTTCTTGCTGTCCTTAAGAACATACAGCTCAGGCCCAGCCTGGGGTCTTTGCCTTGTGGTCCCTCTGCCCCGGGCCCTCCTCCCTTAGGTCTTCATGTGGCTCCCCACTCCCCATGTGAGTTCCAGCTCTGCTTTAATGTCTCCTCATTAGAGAGGCCTTTTCTACCTCTGCTTCTGCTTCTGCTCCCCAGTATAATTCACATATGAACGTGATATATGTTACACACGTGCTTACTGCAGTCTCCTTTGGCAGAATGGACATTCTGATGGCAGGAACTTTGTTGGTCTTATTATTTCTGCTTTCCCATAATCTAGCATGCTAACACAATAGGCACCCAATAAATATGTGTTAATGGATGAACCAATGATAAAAAAAATTATTTAAATACTTTAAACATTCTATCTTAAATTAAATCAAATATATGGTCATTTATTTGCCAATATTTTTAAAAGGGCCAAAGCCTTTTCTTTATCAATATGGTGTGCTCATTGGGGATCCTTGTTGTCTCCTTTTTTGCATATGTCACACCTATAATGTGTCCATAATTTCAAATTTCAATTTCTTTTAAGCAACATGAGATCTTAAAAACTCTTGAAAAGCAATTTCAGTATAGACTCTTTCCATATTTTTATTATTTCCCCCAATCTCCACTACACTTTAAAGCAAATCTTTAAGTCAACTTGCCTTATCAAGTCTTACCAAATCATTCAACTCAGCTTTTAAAGAAGTAGCTCTTCCTTTTTACACTCATTATAGTAGTTTACTTAAGATTTAATCCATTAACATACTTGTAATTAAATTACTCAAGTTTAATAGCATGTATTATGGGTATAAACTGGTTTAGGAACAAACACCACTCAACTCAAAGGTGTGCAGGTGAACTGAGAGCACCTGTGTTCACTACCACCTGCCAGTGGGTTGTTATGGCGAGTTGGCTTACAGGAGGTGAGGAAATAGAAATTTTTCTGTACAGTAACCCCTTTATCCTCAGGACCCCCAGCGGATGCCTGAAACTGCAAATACTGCTGAATCCTATTATATACCATGCTTTTCCCGATACAAACATACCTTTTCAGTTATATTGGTACACCCTAATCGTCAACATCACTATGCTTGTGCTTTGGGGTCATTAGTAAGTAAAATAAGGGTCACTTAGACACAACCACTGCCCCTCAACAGCGAATCAGATCACTGAGACGACTACTAAGAGACTGACAAGTAGGGAGTGCATGCAGTACAGAGATGCTAGACAAAGGGATGGTACACATTCAAGTGAGAGATTTCACTGTGCTACTCAGAACAGCAATTTAAAACTTATGAACTGTTTATTTCCGGAATTTTTCATTTTCTATTTCCGGGCTGCATTGACTGTGGGTAACTAAAACCAAGGAAAGCAAACCACAGAAAAGGAGGCACTACTGTGATATACAAACCCCTGACAGGTGGCCATTCAGATGTAAACCATGTGGATGCCACTGAGACTAGAAAAAGCAAAATTATGTCAGCTACATGCAATGAGGACCAACAGAACCTAGGCAATAAATTTCCTTCTTCTGGCCAAGAAAATATTCTCATGGAAAGGAACTAAAGTTAATTCAGAGCCATAATGAATGTTGGATTTCAATCAATAGAATTATCCTACACCATTGGTTAGTAAACTGAACTTAGTTCTCCTTCTCTAGTGAGAATGAAGAGTCATTCTCAAATTTTTTGTGGTACTTTAAATTCTAAGTAAATTAGTCCCTTTGGGTATTTTTAAAGACAGACATCTGAACTAAGCATGAACCTAAATTCTAACTCTTGCTCTCCTCACCTGGTAACATTTTATATAACCCAGATGTTTCATCACCCTGTTCTTCTGTTCATCTGTCACCTATGTGGTGCTGGACAACCTTGGCCTCAGCTATGGATCTTGTCCCAGCAAGGCTCCCCATCCTGCCTCTCACTGAGATCCTCTTCCTACGGCCCCACTGAGGATGCTGACCCAGGGGGTTGACAGTCATGGACGTTGGTCATGGGATGCTATCATTCATCCTCCCTCCTTCTCAGGTGCATGGGCTTCAGAAGCCTAGCAACTTTTCTCTACTGAACCCTGGTCCACCATGCTGCCCTCAGCCCAGACACACTAGGCAACTGAGGGATCTATAATGGGCTCCAATTATCGCTTTCAAATCCTCCTTTGGAATGAGAAGGATGGAGGTCAAGGCCAAGACCCTTTCCTTTTGGGCATTCCTCCGTATGGTTATGACACTTGCTTTCCTTAAGCCATAGCTAAGTCCTCCCCCTTCCTGGTGTCTTGGAAAGTCATTTTGTTAAATGCAGATGTGAACTAGATCTTCTGTTTTGACTCACATCATGGAGTCCGTTTCCGAATGACCTAATCATGGTGACAAGCAAGGGAGTCTCTGAAACACATAGGAAGGGACATGCCATGGAGAAAGACTCCATTCATGAGTGAGAAGGGACTCAGGTAGGAGGACAGACAGGTGCACCCCAGCTTCCTGAGGGCACAATGCCCTTCATGGGCTCTCAGACCAGATGCCAGGAGACATTCAGAGCATGAAACCACTCCTCTGTTCTGAGTCATTGCTCATGTGGCTTCCTGTGGAGTTTGCTTAATGGAAGAACATGCCATTCTAGCTAGTGCGCACACTTGGTCTATTTGCAAATATGTTTTTTATTATAAACTAGTGGCCCGGTGCATGGATTCATGCACATAGAAAGGAAATTAATTAGAAGAAATATTTTAATATTGCGATTCACCCTTTCTCTATAATAGAAGTGTCAACCAAATTCAAGATCGACAATGACAGATCAAAATGCACGTGTGCAACTGGCACTAGTGAGAACTTTC